TATGAATAGCTTCGTGGAAATTAAGATTTCAGATCTAAACAGTAGACTCGACATATTTCATTCAACTGTAGAGGTTCCAAATCATATTGTTGCTAAATTAAAAAATTTAATCAAATATATAGAGAAACATCAATGTGCAGGCATTTTGCTAGTATGTTGATGTGTACAAAAAAAAACACCGCGACGACAACATTTTGTACTTACACAGTCTCGTCGTAAACCTCGTCGCCGTACACAATCACAAAATATTCGTCAATCACAACAATGTGTAAGCAATACACAAAAAAATCAACGATGTCGCAAACGAACAGCACACAAATAAATGTTGGATACATTTGGCCAAACAAGATAATGTACATATGAAACCTTCAAATGTGTCCAATGCTGGTGAGGGATTATTTACATGGAAAAAACCCATTTCACGGGGTAAAATTATTTCCAAATATACCGGTCAAAAACTTACCAAGAAACAATTGGACAAAAAATACGGAGAGGGTCGTGCTGATTATGCGGTTTGCAATGTCGTAGTCAATGTGTCAATTCAACGTACACAACCGATGCGGCGGCACAATTTGTAAACGATAGTCGTGGTACATCGTTTCAAAATAATTCCAGAATAAAAGGACGACAATTATTTAAATTAAAAGCAACAAAAAAGATACCGTCCAATCACAAAATATTCACATCATACGGAAAAGAATATTGGTATAAGTTTTTCACTATTATGCGCATAAATATCAACGTAGCAAACAAGACGGTGGTAATATCGTGAAAAAACTTTGAAATTCCAAAGTTTTCTCGAACACTACAGAAAAATCTTGTGAACATGGGCAAGAAATTAGGAAGTTTAATCTTGAAGTCATGCAAGGTGTCGAAAAATCAAAGCTATCGTAAATCAAACAGGTAGCGTTATTGGTCATCGCCGCGGACCGCCAAGAACAATGAGAAACACTATACCGAATGCTACACGTATTATGTATCATCAGTAAATTTTATAAGATGTTATTGTAGTAAAAGAGAGAATTAAAAAATATTACTTACACCTCGCCATTTGTGTTTTCCTCTGTTTTTCACCATTTCTATGACGTGTATATTTTCACCGATGCATTTCAAATATCAATGGAGATCCCAAATATATACAACATGACATGTATATTTTCACCGATGCATTTCAAATAATGGAGATCCCAAATATATATGCAACACTCATTAAACATATTTTGTATTTATTTTCCATATTTGGTAAATGACTTCACAAAAATAAAATTTGTATTAATTCACTTACATTTTGCACGACGCCATAATAGGTAATTAAGTAAAATCATATTTTTTTATTATAATTTAGTTATATCTTAAATCTTAAATCTTTCACGCAGCCAGTATAGATGATCCATCATCATCTAACAACTAACATTCTCTGTTGCTACAGCCTGCCTTTTATACAGCATACCTTTTATACAGCATACATTTGAATTCACATAGTTGTTTTACACCGGGATAATGAGCATAGGGAAAATTCGGTTTATTGTACTCTGTATAACGATTTAAAGCTGCCACATACGGTGATATAACCCTTTTCATCGGACGTTGTTTTCCACCCAAACTGAACGTACCATCGTAATATTCTACTGCCACATAAAAATGAGACAAAATCCACAATTGCATAATTGGCAAAATCAAGGGTTTTTGGACGGGTCGCAATATATCCACGCAATATATCTTCGGGCGTAAAATAATCAATAATAATATGTGAATAACGTCTTTTAAATTGCAAAATCCCTGAAATCTTTCGAGATGACGTCTCACCATAATAAACAATAAATTTATAAAACGAAAGCGGTCTACAATCACTGTTCACCCATCTGTCCAACACTTCCTTTAATATTTTCTCATTACTTCCTTTTGTTTAAAAAAAATATGTTTGTGTGCTAACCATGACAATAAGGTTTTGTACCGCAGAACACTTGTTCTTGTATAATACCCAGACTAAACTGATCATTTTCTACCACAAACACTAGCTTATCAGTGAAAGACTGAATACATTTTGGCATTCTGTTATGTGTAAATAAAAATAAAGCAAAATCTTTTTCATGTAAAAATCTCATAACTTTGTTTTCATAATCTTTATTTTTTATGCTTAAGAAAGCTACTATTTTCCATTTTCCATTCCACCATTTTGATATATAATACATATTAGACATATATTTCAAATACAACACACGTAAAGCATAACTTGAATACATTTTTTTATTTAAAAAACATATATTTAGTAAAGAATGTATTCACATAATTGTGATACAATTTATCATTATCATCATTTATATAATTTTCTATATAACTACTTATGGCTCTATAACTATTATCACACATTTCATCAAATTCACCGTCAATCACATAGACACTACAAGGTATTTTATCACGATAAAATTCACAAGTTATTGGAGAATCAACTAAAGGTTTTTGACGTTCTAAACACTCATCTAATAAACGTAAAAAAATTTTCAACCGCCCATTACATTTCTTGCACATAAGTATGTGTTCTAACAATTTTAATATATTACTACTCAATATTGGTGCATTTTTAAAACTTAAATACCCTCTTCATCTACTGAAAATTCACGATACAATAAACTAGTCTCTTGGGTCAACCCTTACGAAAATTTCCTATAGGAATTCCTATAGGAAAAATTCCTATAGGAATTTTGTCCCAAATTCTTATAGGAATTTTTCCTATAGGAATTTTTCCTATAGGAATTCCTATAGGAATTTTTTCTACAGGAATTCCTATAAGAATTTAATAGGAAGAATTCCTATAAGAATTCTCAAGTCTAGTCCCAAATTATTATAGGAATTTCCTATAAGAAAATAATTTATTCTAATTTCCTATAAGATTTTTGGTATTCCTGCAGAAATTCTAGAATCTAGATGAAATAATAGTAAATGACAGACAATGTTGTTCATCACTCTTAATTTTTTAATGCAAAAAATAGATATAAATATTAATATTGCAAATATAAAAATTAATATGAGAAATTGGTTATACTAAACATTACAAATCAATTATAGTTTTCACCTATTGTGACAAATTAATCATTCTACCTCAATGCAATGCCATATGATGCGTCCTACTTTATTATTTTACTCTGTCTAACTATTTTACTTTGTCTAATGCCAGACTATTTTACTCTGTCTAACTCCAGACAATTGTACTTGAATGTCAAGGGGAAGTGCTGGCTCCGAATGGGTTAACTAGCCTATATTCCTATATATGTGTCTAGTTAACCCATTGAATCACATTGCGCCCTACTTTATTATTTTACTATAGTTTACTCTGTCTAACGCCAGACGATTTTACTCGTCAGAGCGCTGGCACTTAATCGGCTACCATAGGTAATAACCATAATTGACATTTAAAGTTAAGTTTAAAACTGGCCTCAAAACATAGTCCTCAAATAAGTTCTCGTTCTTGTTTGCTTTTCTGTACTTTGCAACACTTTCCCATGTTGTTTATATTTGTCCTCATATGTTGACGAACCTCTGAGGCCTTACATCCATACTTTGTTGATAGCTGTAAAAAGACAAATACATTTATTTTATGTATACCATTCCAAATGCACCCAATTTATTATTTTACTCTAAGTGGAGAGTCTAGCACTTTAATAGAATAAACACAGTAAAATAACAAAGTACTAAAAGTAGGGCACATTGCTTCTAAATATGCCACACAGCAGCTTTTGCAGTTAATTATTAACCTTTCAATGACCAGCATTCATTTTGATGAGTAAAATCATCTGATAAATATCAAAGTACGGAAAGTGGGGATTGAGTGTTAGGGTGAATTGCATCTAAATGTGCTAACGCCAAATAATGCAAAATTGTCTGGTATTAACAGGGCAAAATATTGAGCTTTGAAATAGAGCGCATTAGTGTGAATTTGTGAATTGGGTCTTAATGAGTTTACACAAAACACAGGGAGACAGCAAGGTAACCTATCAAAGTTTTCCACTCTCTTTCAAGTAAAATGATCTGGTGTTAGACAAGGTATAAAATAAAAAAGTACTGAAAGTTGAGCACATTCATCTTAACAAGTTAGCATGAAATGTAAGCTAGCAGAGAGTCTGGTTAATTCGAATACCATCACATAGTTACTGTATGTTTATAAACTGTGGTTTAATTAATAGAAAAACATGGATAATTTTCCTGGCATTACACTAAAGCATGTCTAAAGGCTAACAGATTTTAATACATTGACTGGTGCAAGACCTCTCAAAATGAAAATTGTTTAATTTAAACAAAACATATGAATAAATACTGCTTCTGATTTGAGCAAGTAGTTAAATTTTCTATAGGCATGCATTAAATATGCCTGACAATTTACAATTAATCTGGCATATACAGTTGGCACTTGGGATATACAAATATATTAATAAACATGGATAAGTCTGATTCAAATATAAGACTTTTATAGTAGCATTTGTTGAAGTATAAATGCTATAAATATATTTATATCAGCATTCTAATTCCGTTTATATTGTCGCGGCAAATTCAAATTTTATCGAACCACATGCTCAAATTTCACAAATGACGATTGGAGGTATTTCCTCTATAATTTGCTTTATTATAAATAAAATATAAACTTATTCTTACCTGAACATTATGCAAACATCCCTGATGTATTACTAGTGAAAATCCAGTTGAATCCCATCGGAAATAGTTCTATTTTGCACATAAACCATTGACAAACACTGACTTGAAAAATATCGGAGGTGTGATGATCTATCCCTTGATGCTTTGCGCGCGTGGCAAGAAAACTAGACACCAGTCTGTCAGTCGCGCACATTGCGGTAATTATTCATTTAATCTTAGAAAATAAATAGTCCCAGTATTAAATTCTCTATTAAAGCTAGATTACAGTCCCTTCTGCGCATGTGTAAAAAATGTAAACAAATGTGAGCACACTTGTTTTGATTTTGTGTGCTCCCCAGTCCTTATTCGGATATGCGCGCTCAAAATGGCCGACTCGCAAGAGTTCTATAATAGAGCTGTCCACTTCAAAGACAAATCCTTCTAATGCTGGTCGCCAAAACCAACCAGGAAATCAAAAAGAACATTTCGCGAAAAGGTATTTAACGAAAATGTACTTTAATGATGCTATTGGTCGGTGAAATCATTTCAAAACTGAAGCTGGAATCAAAAGTGACGAGCGTTTGCGAATACTCTGCTGATCGAGCCTGATACGAAACATCAAGACGGATTTAATTGTGG